TTTATTTTTTTTTCTCTCTGCGACACTTTTTCCCTATTGTGTTGTCAATGTTAAACGAATTGTATCCTGACAAGACGAATAAAAATAAGAAATACAATTTTTGTACAACATTTTTAATTTCTCTGACACTTTTTTTCCTACTGTGTTGCATAAAATATTAAACAAATTTTGTGTCTTAAGATAATTCATATAAATTCAAGTCAAAGTCGATCAATTCAAGACTCTTGACAATACATACAATTTTGTGCAGACTACACTTTTATTTGTCAGCCTATCTCTCTTTCAGTAGCGGCAATTTAAACGTGAGATTCTGGAAACGAGATCTAAATTTAGCGGGAACGGTCGGGTCGGGAAGAAAATTATTCTAAGCGGACAGCGGGTGAACAAAGAGTGAATATATAGCGGGAGCGGGTGGGTGCGGAATAGAACCTTGCGGGAGCGGGACTAGACCTCTACTCTGCCGCACAAACGTGCGTCTACTGTGTGTTACGTGTTTCCATGTGTGTAACTTACAGTGACGAAATGAGCTGCGTGTCATCTGAACGTTTTAGATCCCATCAGTTTTCCACTGGAGCCGCTCCCATCAGTTTTGTGTTCTGCGCGTGATTCAAATGCTCCGCTCTCCACCCAAATATAAAAGCTGCTGTCTGTTAATGAAGATTTGACAGATGAACTCGCGACTCGATTGGACTCTTGTCGTGTCAGAGAGTGATAAGACTTTCAGTTTTATGCACGTCACCATCTTTGATTTTACTTTGGTCACTGTCGCTATGGTTACTAGTAAGGAATACGGGCTTGACTCCCATTGCACGTTCATACAGACAGTATTCTGAACAGAACTGTAAGCTGCTGTGTGAACGGGACATTTCGAGACTCACACCTGTAAAGAAAATGCGGTTGTCAATCCCAAAAACTGACAGTGTGAACGTAGCCTTATATTGTTGTGTAACTTTTGGAAAGAGTAGCTACTATTAGCGGTTTATCTGGGATGCCTAGTTTTTATTATCAGTACATATATGAAATATTTACATATTAGCCTAAGCCACCAAAACAAAATTGTTCTCATTTCTCTTCCACTCATAAAAAATGTGAAAATGTTCCAAAAGCGTTTTTTTTTGTGTGTGTTTTTTTTGTGCAGTGATGCCATAGTAGAAGAACCATCTTTGGTTCCCTCAAGAACCTTTCAGTGAACAGTTCTTAAAACAACATTCTTTCTTATTGTGAAGAATATTTTAATAATCAAAAGAACCATCACTTCCAATAAAGAGTGTGACATTGGCCGTTGTGTGAAAAAAAAAAAACAATTGTGAAATTGTCTTTGTCCATCTTTTTACCAATTATAGACTGCAAATGTCACATTTTTATTGTTTTCTGACTTCTTTGCAGCCCAAGATCGAGTGGATGAAGAATCAGATGATTATTGGTGACGACCCCAAGTTCAGGCAAATCAACAACCAGGGCATCTGCTCCCTAGAGATCCGCAAGCCCAGCAACTTTGACGGTGGCGTCTACACCTGCAGGGCCAGGAACGCGCACGGAGAGGCCTTGGTTACCTGCAAACTGGAGGTTAAACGTAAGTGACTGTCAAAGACCTAACACAAGTGTGTTTTTAAGGTGCCAGTGATATACTTTGGAACATGCAAAAAAGGATTTCCAGTCATGATGAGTAGTCTCAGTCTTGACTGACAGCATTATGAACCAACTAAAACAGGGTTTTCTGTCCTTAGTGAGTTTTTCTTTTTTCATGGCCATTGAAATCGTCTGACTGTGATTTCAAAGCCCAGAAAAGTCATGAAAATGTCTATAGAGACTAAACGCATTATCTAATTATGCTCAGCTCCATAATATTTCATGGAAGTGCAGTGGCTGTGAAATCATTTTCTGCACGTAATCATGAATGACTGGAAAAGTTGTGGCATTTCATTGGTCTAAAACGACTGAATTGAATTACGGTCCATTTAAATATCCAAAAGGATTGCATATTATATTGGGTTATGTGCAAAAAACTGAGAATGTACATTTAAATCAGCTCGGTAGATTTAGTCAAGGCCACATTTAGAGTGATTCAACATCATGCAGACGTGTTTGACTGATACATTCATGAACCAAATCAAGAACATTTTGCTGGTGCTGAAAAGAAGCTCTGAATGTTAAAGAGAAAATCAAATCATGTTGATTCATGGAATGATATAAAACACTTTCATGATAAAAACAAATGATTCCAGACATGGAGTTTATATTTAGCATTGAAAGGCAAGTAGCTTAAGGTAAATATGTTAAATAGATGTCTAGGTCTATCAGATGATACTGTAATGATAGTCAGATGATCTTCGGTGTGTTAGAAACGGATTGCAATCATTCCCATGCCGCCTTATCAATATCATTGACATGTAATATCAGTGTAATCCAACCTAAGCTATGTTAATACAAATGCCTAACCCAGTCCGGGACCTGTTCTTATGTTTGTCAAGTTATCACTCCACATGTGTCTTCACTGGGTTGGACAGATTTATTGTTATTGTAAAATGATTTACAGCCTTTTGAAAACCCGAGAAGATGAGCATGTCAGACAGAACAAGAGTTCGCACATGTCTGAGATAAAACTGGAGTGTCGCTGGATGGTTAACATGCGTGTTTATACGGGTGATAACTTTACGGACATTTATCCCACACGTAATGTTTTGAAAGCCAGTGGACTGAACTGCATTCTTGCTTTCGTTCCCGACAGAGCCTGTGATTGCTGATGCTGATAAGAAATAAGCTCAACACCCACATTCATACAGGTCAGTCTCTATTTTTAGATGTGTTCAGGAGTGTAAAGCTCCAGAGTCATTTGACTTCATTGCTGTGCTTAAGAATGACACTGCTGTTCAAAACACTGCTGTTTGTGGTCAGAAAGGATTTTTTTTTTAAGAAAACTTTTATTCAGTAAGGATGCATTAAATTGATTGCAAGTGACAAAGACATTTATGATGTTACAAACATTTCAATTTCAATTAAATGCTGTTCTTTTAAATTCTGAATCCTGAAATACATCACATATTTTTATGAACCAGTAATTATCAGAAATGTTTCTTGAGCAGCACATCAACATATTAGAATGATTTCTGAAGGATCATGTGACACTGAGGACTGGAGTAATGATGCTGAAAATTCAGCTTTGCATCACAGAAATAAATTACATTTTAAAATAGATTACAAAAGAAAACGGTTATAATAATATTTCATAATATTACTGATTTTACTGTATTTTTTAAGCAATTAAATACAGCCTTGGTGAGACTTGAACCCTTATGCATTTCCAAAGCAAAAATGATATATTTCACAAAGTGCCTACAAAGGCCCTAACCTTGCTTGAAAACTTTTTTTTCTCACTGAAATATGTTTTTGGCATTAGTAAATATTTAACAATACCCTCTTTGTTTTTATTTTTCAATCAAATATATAAATGGAAAATTTCATATAGTTGATTTTGTACAATAAGATGTTTAAATTGTATGTTGAATGTTTATTATTTTATTTTTTATTTTTGACACAAATGTAGACTTTGGTACTTTGGTACAAAAAACATAATAATAATAAAATTATATTTAACAAAACATTATACTTAATTAACAAAATACCAATACTTTAACTTGAGTATATTTTCTCTGCACTTTTCTACACCTCTAAATCATACCTTGCTACGTGTACTGTGTTAGGCTAACCGAGACTTGTCATTTGCACTTACATATTGTTGCTCTTTGTTAGTTTTGATTGCTTCTATTGTCCTCATTTGTAAGTCGCTTTGGATAAAAGCATCTGCTAAATGACTAAATGTAAATGTTTATCACATGTTTATCATGTTTGTCACAAAAAATGTAACACAAAAGAACAGTTTTGAGTTTTTGCTTTGGAAAAGGAGCTTTGGATTGCCAAAAAGAGATTTGGTTCTCTATCTATTTGGGTCTTGACAAGACATCTGTCTTCCCCTCTGAGCCTGGCCTTACATGGGGGACACTAAACTTGGAGATTACGGCCCCTGCTGCTGGAAGTGTCCGAGTGGCAATTCCCCATAAATTAACCTCGTTATGACTCTATACGTGTACCAGCAGAGAGACTAAATTACATCCACCTGACTGTGCACCGTTAGACCCTGATGAGTCCTCAGACATCTACTGCTAGATCTCACCACAGAAAACAGTAAAACATGTTGCTTGGATTGTTAGAACTATTTCAGGCCGACTGACACCTGTTCCTTGTTCTTCCTCTCTGCATGCGCTCTAGTCCCAAATAAGGCACAGAAAATGTGGGATCCCTCTCAAAAGGTGAGAACTCATTCCAGAATGTTCCAGCTCCAACATCAGCTCTGATAAGCCACTTCAAAGCTATTACAAAGCATGCATGCAACAACCTAGTATCAGTTGAATCCTATATTAATGCAGAAAGTTGAGATCCTGTTTGTTGGTAAAAGAATTAATTCAAATTTTTTTTACACATTTGTAGAACAAATGTGTAGTGTCTGTAGTGTCTTTATTTTTTATCATTTATAATTATTTTATATTTTTCTCCCATTTTAAAATGGTGAATTTAATAAATAGTTAATTTCATTATTAATAATAAGAAGAATAAACACATATTCTGCCAAGGAACAGTTTTTTAACCATTTTAATGGTTTAAAGCAGTGTTATTTTAGTATTACTGATATTTTAATTAGATTTTATTTTTATAGCTTCTGGTGTCAGTTTAGTTTTATTTATTTGTTTGGTCATTTTTGTCTATATATTTTTTTTCCTCCCATTTTACAGTGGTTAAGGGTGTAAATAGTTAATTGTATTATTAATCATTATAAAAGTAACGTGTTCATTAAGCATTTTAATGGCTTAAAGCAGTGTTTAGAATCATTAATATACTATTACAGTTTTTGTTAATATGTTTAATTAGATTTTATTAGTATAGTTTCACTTCAGTTTTACAGTTTTCATTTTTTGTCATTGTTATTTTTTTTAAATATGCCTATATATTATTTGTGAAGTTTTATTTTGTATTATTTAGTTTTAGTTATTTTAGTAGTTTAAACAGAAATGTTACCTTGGCAACTAGCTAAAATAGTTTTTTATGTATTTTATTTAAGTTTTCATTAACGATAAAGCAACTTGGTGCATTAATATGCAGTTCAACTGATATGCCATATGTACTTTTTTTATTACTAATTTTACTCTTTCTTTCACTTTTGTAGGATTGTGAAGACGTCTTTTGCTGATGAGAAAAAAAAAACATGTACATATGAAATAAAAATATATATAAAAATAGACATTTTCCTCTTTTTTCATAATTGAATGCTTGGCCTCAGAATTATGAAAAAGCACATATATTTATTATATGGCCATTGACATGAGCAGCTGCCTGTGACATGTATCCATTCTTGTCTGTGTATCGCCACACATACTCGTCCCTGACTGAGTCCAGTGATGTAACTCGGATCAAGTCCCATCCGGACCTACAGGAGTGTTTGTTCAATTAAACGATAGCCTTTCACCCACGTGATGACTTTTGTCATTTGTCATAATGTCAGCGAACCGAATGTAACATTTACAGGAACGTTCAGGATTCAGCAGGCCGAGTGACCCTGAACACTGTCAGCGGAGCCTTGGAAGACTGAATAGGGTGACATTCATTAGTATGGAAATTATTTCTTTCTGTGACGCAAACTTTGTACAGACACCTTCCCAACCAGAGGAAACTCAACTGAGAGCAGACGGGTTAGTGAAGGTCACACACACACACACAGGCATGAAGATAAATGTGTCTGTGAGAATGCAAAGACTTTGAAAGGACTATGTGCTATGCATGATGTTCATTATCGACTTCTCAGGGTTCCTGTCAGAGAAACCTAAAGCCTTGTGCTTATTTCGTTTGGCCAGCATCATGAAACCCTGCGCCAACACGTAAGTAAAGTTAGTAATGCAAAAGCCTGTTGGAATATGAGAAATAAAACTAATTTGGTGGGGTTTATGCTTAATAATGATGCATAAAAACCTAAAAATTGAAGGTTTTTATGTAGGCCTTGTTGACCCCAAGCAATATGATCATTTTTACAATCCCACTGGATATCATACTGTAGAATGGCCTTGATTCAGTTGAATGTACTTTAGTATTCCTTTCTTATTAATGTAAGACTGGGTGCGGTCATTTGAAATGTATTCCAGTTTGTTTTGGTTTTTTTTACCTGTTTTAGTGTTTGTTATTATATTAATTTAATGTAACATAAAAACATAATCATAAACACATTGTTTTCTAGTGCAAATAGTTTGACCGTTTACTGCACATTACTGTGGCTAATAAATCGGTCATTAACAGAAAAATAGCTTGCTTCTGCATTGTAAAATATTGAGGTAGACAGGACAACCAAAAATGTCACTCAAGGAAATAAAAAGCTTCTCTAGTGAAGTTCAGTCAATCTTGTTTTAAAGACAAGATTTTTGTATTTCAATATGGATGTTTATATGTTTTTTTTTTAAAGATGCTGATTACAAATACAATGTGTTTGCCATGTATGCACTGTTGAGATGTGTGTATATTTCTAAACAGTAGATGGCAGCACCTTTACTGTTTTTAACCCGAATTTAGCAGTCAAAATAGTCAGCCTTAAGCGCAGACACATACTCAGCATACTCAGAGCAGAGAAACAAGCCCAGGGCCAGGCCAGATCTGTGGTAGTAAAACACTCTGGCTCTGTTCCCAAACCCTCGCTGTCTACTGTCTACACACACACAGCACAATAAAGTCTGGCATTAGCCTGTTGCTAGACAAAAGGCAAAATACTCTATACACAGCAAGTAATATACCAAAGCATAACAAGTACTGATGCCAGCATACCAAATACTGAGAAATAATAATTTCTCATTTCTTTGCCCACTATTTTTTTTTCCAGACAGAACTGCATTCTGGGATTGCTTTCTTCATAAAGATGCATGCAATGCTGGGGTGACCATACGTGCCATTTTCCCAGGATGGCCAGGACGCGTCCTGGGAAAATGGCACGTATGGTCACCCTATGCAATGCTGCCTTCAAATATGGCCAAGTGAATCTGGAATAGTCTTTGTATTGTATCAGGACAAGCCTATAATGTCTTAAAATGTGGCCTATAGACAACTCATCAGGTTTTGAGACAGTCAGTGGACATTACAGCATCTCCCTCTGCTGACCTTGCATGTCCAAAACATTCATAAACGGCTGTCCTCCACTTGAATCATGATTGTGAACAAGGTCATGTCTTTATGAAATCTGGGTCCAAAGTATGCTACACATCCTTGAAGTACCATATAAACATCTGAAACCCTTACAAAATAACACAGTGTGTCTCTAGGTACACTAGCAAGCATAATTTAAGATTTTTTAAAATGTTTTTGAAAGACGTTTCTTATGCTCATCAAAGCAGTAATATTGTGAAATATTACTAAAATATAAAAGCTGTTTTCTATTTGAATATGTTGCAAAATGTAATTTTTTCCTGTGATGCAGAGCTGAATTGTCAACATCATTACTCCAGTCTTCAGTGTCACATGATCCTTCAGCGCTGCTTCATATTTTTTAGAAACTGTGATATGTTTCATTCAGCATTCTTTCAAAAGAACAGCATTTATTTGAAATGGAATCTTTTGTAACACCTTAAAAGTCTTCATCCTCAACTCAAAGCTTTTATTTAATTTTGATAATCAACCTTTAACATGACCCAGTCACTCAATAACATTGAATACCATAAAGACTGTACTAGATTCAAAACACCTCCAGAATCCATCACAGCGCTTGCTTTACCTCTAAACCCACACAACCACTTGACTTATTCAGTGTGGACTGAACTTAGATCTTTCTTTTCAGCCTAAGATACTCCGAAGTTTGATTGAATCTGAAGCTGACTTCATCTGTGGATTTTCACAGCTGCCTGTGCCATATGAGTCTGCTGGGTTTGAGGTCACAGTGCACAGTCTGTTGAGATGGTTCGTTTCTACACCGGAGTGCAGAAATTTGAAGAAATGCCAGTTTGAGCCCAGAGACTGGGACCTGAATCTGAAACAGGAAGGGATCTGGTCAAGAAATCCTGAAGGAATGCTGCTGGATTGCTATTGGACCTTGCATGATTTGGAATCAATCCAAATAAAAATCCAAAATCTGCATACAAATCTGAAGAAAAAAGTCTGTCTATACAGTAGCACCTTGATTTACATATACATAGTTCATCCAAAAATGAAAATGTATTCCATCCAAGATGTGGATGAGTTTGTTTCTTCATCAGAACAGATTTGGAAAAATTGCATTTCATCACTTGCTCATCAATGGATGCTCTGCAGTGAATGGGTGCCGTCAGAATGAGAGTCCAAACAGCTGCTAAAAACATCACAATAATCCACAAGTAATGCACACCACTCAATTAACATCTTGAGAAGACAAAAGCTGCATGTCTGTAGGAAACAAATCCATAATTTAGATGTTTTTAACTTCAAACCATAAGTTCATAATCCATTATAACACTTCCTCCAGTGAAAAAGGCCAACTCCTGCTGTCCTCTCACATCAGAATCCACCTACATATTTGTTCAGAACTGTTGCTTGATCTGTGCATATTTCTCTCCTGATTCAGACGAGATGACTTTTTCACTGGAGGAAGCGTTATTATGGATTATAGATTCATAATTTAGCTGGAAGCAACAGTTTAAAGTAAAATATGTCTCAATGGTGAATTAGTTTCTTTCACACATGCAGCTTTTGTCTTCACAAGACATTAATTGATGGACTGGAGTGGTGTGGATTACTTGTGGATGATTGTGATGTATTTATCAGCTGTTTGGACTCTCATTCTGACGGCAAATCCTGGCCAGGACGCGTCCTGGGAAAATGGCACGTATGGTCACCCTATGCAATGCTGCCTTCAAATATGGCCAAGTGAATCTGGAATAGTCTTTGTATTGTATCAGGACAAGCCTATAATGTCTTAAAATGTGGCCTATAGACAACTCATCAGGTTTTGAGACAGTCAGTGGACATTACAGCATCTCCCTCTGCTGACCTTGCATGTCCAAAACATTCATAAACGGCTGTCCTCCACTTGAATCATGATTGTGAACAAGGTCATGTCTTTATGAAATCTGGGTCCAAAGTATGCTACACATCCTTGAAGTACCATATAAACATCTGAAACCCTTACAAAATAACACAGTGTGTCTCTAGGTACACTAGCAAGCATAATTTAAGATTTTTTAAAATGTTTTTGAAAGACGTTTCTTATGCTCATCAAAGCAGTAATATTGTGAAATATTACTAAAATATAAAAGCTGTTTTCTATTTGAATATGTTGCAAAATGTAATTTTTTCCTGTGATGCAGAGCTGAATTGTCAACATCATTACTCCAGTCTTCAGTGTCACATGATCCTTCAGCGCTGCTTCATATTTTTTAGAAACTGTGATATGTTTCATTCAGCATTCTTTCAAAAGAACAGCATTTATTTGAAATGGAATCTTTTGTAACACCTTAAAAGTCTTCATCCTCAACTCAAAGCTTTTATTTAATTTTGATAATCAACCTTTAACATGACCCAGTCACTCAATAACATTGAATACCATAAAGACTGTACTAGATTCAAAACACCTCCAGAATCCATCACAGCGCTTGCTTTACCTCTAAACCCACACAACCACTTGACTTATTCAGTGTGGACTGAACTTAGATCTTTCTTTTCAGCCTAAGATACTCCGAAGTTTGATTGAATCTGAAGCTGACTTCATCTGTGGATTTTCACAGCTGCCTGTGCCATATGAGTCTGCTGGGTTTGAGGTCACAGTGCACAGTCTGTTGAGATGGTTCGTTTCTACACCGGAGTGCAGAAATTTGAAGAAATGCCAGTTTGAGCCCAGAGACTGGGACCTGAATCTGAAACAGGAAGGGATCTGGTCAAGAAATCCTGAAGGAATGCTGCTGGATTGCTATTGGACCTTGCATGATTTGGAATCAATCCAAATAAAAATCCAAAATCTGCATACAAATCTGAAGAAAAAAGTCTGTCTATACAGTAGCACCTTGATTTACATATACATAGTTCATCCAAAAATGAAAATGTATTCCATCCAAGATGTGGATGAGTTTGTTTCTTCATCAGAACAGATTTGGAAAAATTGCATTTCATCACTTGCTCATCAAAGGATGCTCTGCAGTGAATGGGTGCCGTCAGAATGAGAGTCCAAACAGCTGCTAAAAACATCACAATAATCCACAAGTAATGCACACCACTCAATTAACATCTTGAGAAGACAAAAGCTGCATGTCTGTAGGAAACAAATCCATAATTTAGATGTTTTTAACTTCAAACCATAAGTTCATAATCCATTATAACACTTCCTCCAGTGAAAAAGGCCAACTCCTGCTGTCCTCTCACATCAGAATCCACCTACATATTTGTTCAGAACTGTTGCTTGATCTGTGCATATTTCTCTCCTGATTCAGACGAGATGACTTTTTCACTGGAGGAAGCGTTATTATGGATTATAGATTCATAATTTAGCTGGAAGCAACAGTTTAAAGTAAAATATGTCTCAATGGTGAATTAGTTTCTTTCACACATGCAGCTTTTGTCTTCACAAGACATTAATTGATGGACTGGAGTGGTGTGGATTACTTGTGGATGATTGTGATGTATTTATCAGCTGTGCTGTTTGGCCTCTCATTCGGACGGCACCCATTCACTGCAGAGGATCCACTGGTGAGCAAGTGATGTACAGAAATGCTACATTTGTTTGGGTTGATAATCTGTGCTGCAGAGTGAACATGATGTTCACCACCCTTCAATCTAATTAAGAAATTATTACTTGTCTATTTAATTATCAATAACGTCATGATAAGTTCTCCAATCTTTAACATCCACAACCTTGCAAATGCAAAACTAGGATACACATCTAGTTTCCAAAGCTGTGATGTACTGTAATCTGATAACATATGCAGCATTCCTCACAGAGATGAATGATGGAGCCGGCTGTATTGTATCAGGTTTATGGTGCTTGTCATTCCGGCGGCGGCACTATTGTGGCATCGCAGCTGGACAAACAAATGATGCTCAATGGATGTTCTGTCAACTGCAATAAGATTTGATGATATAGAGAAGCACAGACAGCACTCAACTGAATTTGAGAGCACAAAACGCGATAAAATTTCCTTGAGGCTTGCTGACAACAGACTGACATATATTTCTAGAATATGCTTAGCATAAACAGCCTGTCAGTGGTGTTTTGTAATGAGAGAAAGTCTTAGTCAAGACCTAACCTGAGAACTGGAAAGGAAAAGTTGCATAAAGTGCTCTGGGTGGTTATTGCTAGGCAGTTGCTAGAGCGCTCTGGAAAGTAGCTAGGCAGCTTCTAGGCAGTTGTAAAGTTGATTTGGGTGGTTTATATTTGTCTCTCATTTTGAAGGCTGCACCCTCCGGAAGTTGCATTTGTTGTCCGCATATTTCACTGAGGATGTGTCTTTACCATTACATTCCAAAGTAAGAAAGAAATTACAATAAATTATGCCTCACAAGAAATAACAGTCAACTTTATGTTGGTTACTTTTCTAAAATGAGACATCCTCGATGATGTATATGGGGCCGACAAATGTGACCTCTGGGGGCGCAGCCTTTGAAATGAGACAGTTTTTTAGTATTATTTCTATAGTATTTATTAATATTTTGAATTAGCTTTTATATTTTCAATTTTTGTTTTATTTTTAGTTTCAGTTTTAGTAATTTTGTTATGTGCGTTTGTCTTTTTTTTTTTACATTAGTATTTAACTATTTTGCCTTCAGTTTCAGTCATAGTAGTTCAGCTTATTTTATTAGCTGACATTTCATTTCAGATAGTTGTTTTAAAGGGTTTTTTAGTGTGTGTTTTTCTTTTTCTTTTTTTATATTTTGTTTTTATTTAACAGCTTATATTTTCATTTTTTGTTTTAACTTAAGTTTTAGTAATTTTATGTTTTTGTCATTTTTATTAGTTGTAGTTTTTTAAAATACATATATTAAACATTTTTATTTATTTCAGTTTTAATGTTAGTAATTTTAGTACTTAACCTTTAGCCACAGTTTGTACAATAACAGTTGTTAGACTAGTCAAACCATCATAATTAAGTACACAAAACTGTAATAGCATGCATCTTTCCTCTGGCACTCCACAGTATTTTTACGTTTAAATTAAGCACCGGAAGCACTGTACATTTTCTTAATGCATCCAAGGAATTCTTGCTCTGTCATGCAGCCTGAGTTTTCTCCAGTCACATATATAGCGCTAGCTGGCCAAAAGCTGCATCCCACTTTGCCAAATGAGAGCTCTGCAGGCACAGAAACAGGATGACTTGGACATCTGCCACAGCCCGGAAGACTCTACTGCTGCCTCAATAATAATAAATCCAATCATAGAGCCAGTCCGCTACACCAGTTTGACATTCATAAAACCCAGCTGACGCTCTACAGGACTCTATGTAGGTTATTACATTGCCAGTTTTCTAAAGCACCATGTGTTTATGTATACCTGACAAAAACAGATACGTAAAGGAACAAAAACGATGCAGTAAATGGAACGAACTTTAGATCTACTAGAGCATTAGTTTGGTTTCTTTCTAGTTGATTCTAGATATCAACATTGCACTAACATACTGTGTAACTTCAGGTTTGCAGTTTGTTTTTCCAATCTGAAGGAATTCGCAATCATGTAGAAAGAATCCAGGCATAGCGGCTCGACCCCTCTAGCCAAAGGCCTGACTTTATTTCATTGATTTTAGATGTTGACGGATTGGACTCCATCAAACCCATTTAATTAGTATTGAGGCACCAGGCTGCAAATGGAGATAGACTAAAGGGGGTGGGGGTCTAAAATCATTCGGCTGATCTGTTTAAATATCATACAGCATGGCTAACCAGCACCTTGTAGAATTAGATAATGAAACTACATGAGTTTGTATCCTACTTTAGGGAGGAAACACTGCACAGTTCATTAGACAGTGACGGTGAGTCGGTCTGACAGTGTAAGATATGGTGACTGTGAACTGCTTCTATTATTATGAGGTTCTGGAGTGTGTGGACGGATTGCTCTGCTGGAGAGTGTTCTGCAGCACGTCCCATCAGTCTTTAATAATTTACATAGAGCACATTAAGTTACATGCTGCTGGAGCGCAGCAGGCTGGAGTCAGAGCAGGGCCAAAGAGTTATTATATTTACTGCAGACAAGGAGCTTTAAAATATGTCATTCATTTCAGTGTCATCTGGTCAGTTTGCGCAGGCTCCACCGGAAGTACGCAAAATGGAGGCTGCCATCTTCAAGGGTGTGTTCACACTTGTAGTTTGGTTCGTTTGGTTCATTTGGTCCAGACCAAAAAGGAAAATGATACAGCGGAATAAAATTATATGTACACGCAAGATTGAGCGCGCTTAGTCCAGCAGACGGCATTAGGTGTGTTCGACTTAAAGTGGCGCTAAGCAGACCGATCGGTTAATGGATGCTTTGGTATCATACACCTGCAGCGCCGTTTTAAGTCAACACACCTTTTGTTTGGGGTGTTCGGTGAGTTCCGTCACGATATACGTCATTCAAGCCGACCAATCAGGTTGTGAACGTATCACTATGCCTTTAGGTTCGGTGTCTTTAGGTTCAGTGTCAAAAATGCCAATGTGAATGCTAAGCGGACCAGGACCAAATGTATCATTTTCCTTTTTGGTCTGGACCAAATGAACCAAATGAACCAAACGAACGGAACTACAAGTGTGAACACACCCTAAGACACTCTGTTCTGGGATTAAGCTTTAAAAAATTTAAAATTATTACTTGGTGAATTGTTATGAATTATAACCTCATAAATTAATATTTTACAGATTTAACAGTGATCAGTGAAGCACCATAAGTGTATATCCTTATATTTTATGTATTGTCTACTGATTAGTAAGTTGGATAGCTGACATGTTACTGTCAGTGTTGAGTAGTACCAAATAGCCTTTCCTGGCTTGCTGGTTAAATACGTACAGTTCACAATAAAAGAATCGCTGTTTTCGCTAAAGAGCACATAAAATTTGTGGTGGGAGAAGCATGTCTTGTTGCTATGCTGAAGACATCTGCTGGTTGAAGTTGTGCAAATGCAATGAGAACACAAAATTAAAATAGTAGGCTATTTAACTTTAGTAGTATTTTATCACTTTGTAGCCCTTATTTATTTTTAAAGAATATTATTTAAATTTTACTCAACTTTTATGAATTGAAATCGCTAATAAACTGGTTCAAGGGTTCAACTTGAAATCAACTACTATACTCTCAAACCATTTCAGAACGTTTCTGTAACGTAACAGTAACGAAGCCTCCATCACGTGCAGTGTTGCCAACTAATTTTCAGGGGAAGTTGCTAAAGGAAGTTTGATTTGTTGCTAAAAGTTGCTAAATGATGTTGTGATGACATTGCGTGATGACGTCATTACGTAATCACGATGCAAAATTGTGTCAAATCTCAGCAAAAACATATATATATTTTATATATGTTAATTTAGATTTGTTCGTAGCAATATAAATGCATAATATAATATTAAAATATAGCCTAAATAACTATTTTTAAATCCATTGAATTATCAAAATCGTACACATTTTTGAACGATTACAATTTAAGTTTTATACTTTAAAGCAGTTTATTAGTAGTTAGTTAGTATGCTGCACTCTAAGAAAAGTAAAAAAATAATGCACAATCTACTGTGTTAATATGAAGGAATTTTCTGGATTGATTTTTCCACAGGTTTTTGTACCTGCATTTTTAATTACGCATTGTATTTTGTGTTTTCGGGTTACAACGGATAACGGATAATGTCCTGGAAAATTACTAGCACCTTTTCCATTTTTCTGCATATTTTTCTTACAGTGTACTGTAAGAAACAGTGTAACTCATCAACAATCGCAGGTACAAGCTACTAACAAAGTGTCTCATAAATGAAAAATAACAGTATTCAATTATTCAGATATTATTACTATTAAACAATTGCAAATAGCAGATAACTTAATTCCTGTAACGTGTGTACTGCTAGGCATCTTTGGTTTCCTCTTTTTGTGTAATTTAAATGGTAAATTGTGCCTTTTTATCATTTGAGTCACGAATCAAAAGTTGCTAAAACTGCCAAATAAATGTTTTAAAATAGCTAAATTTGTTGCTAGGTGCTTTTGGAAGAAAAAGTTGCTAGGGTAGTCTGAAAAGTTGCTAAATTTAGCAACAAAATTGCTAAGTTGGCAACACTGATCACGTGTTGGTTCGAAACGCTAATCGAAGAGAAGTATTCATAAACGTTTCGAAGATTCGTGAAGAATTATGAATCGGTTCCTTAAAACGAGTCGATTCTCTAAAATAAACACGCTTGTGAACATTGGGCTCAGCGTGGTTAAACACACGAAAAAGAGTGCATTTTCTTTGTTGTTTGTTGTTATCAAAACACTGTCTCATTGTTTTACCAGGTTCACCTCTGTATGACATGAACTGTACGCGGGAATCAGTCTTTTAAATGTCAACGGTTATTTTGACGGCTGGTCTTTATGAAGACGGTGCTTTTTGGAGCTGTAAGTATTTTTTTTTTTTTTATGTCAGAACATAAAAAGAATCCGGTAAATTAACTTTTATAAGATGATATTTCGGTTCTGTTTACAAACGATATGTTTTTGTCATTTGATAACCTGCGATCCCGATTGATCGAATACTAACTTTACAGCAATTTTGTTTTTGCTGCATTTCACTAGCAATATTTGTTAATTGATTTTAAAAAATACATTTACCATTTAAATTGAATGATTTTGTGATGTGAATAGCCAGTCAGTAGTGATATATCGGTAACTATCCTTATTGAACTATAAAAGAACCGGTTAATAGTCTCTTGAAGCGGACTTTTTTGGTCGCGTTTCTGTCCACACTGGTCGCCTTGTATTTTATATTGTTTTAGCCCGTGAGGACAGTACAGTCGACAAAGATGTATTATTTCGGGGTACACGCTCTCTTTATTAATTAACATTCAGTACAGTTTAATATGTAATGTCTTTTGTTATCACGCTGCAGATTCATCAGCGCAGCAGCCACTGTTGCCAACTCTCGCGAGACAAATAAGCAACCGCTGCATCAAAAACAAGCCCAGTATTTTTTTTGATGATTATCATCAATATGATTTATTATCAATTATTTATTACCAATAAATGAACCGGCAACCTATTAAACTGAAACCACTCTTTTAACTGAAAAGCAAAACCAGATATGTTATTTTACAAAAATCAGCAAACTGCAACAAAGTGAGAACAAAAAGCTCATCTCCAATCACCAGAATAGGATCAGAGAGATGGAAAAGGAGAAAAACACAAGAGCTTCAAAGGGGAACTGTAACATAGCCACATATGTATAGCCTACTAAAATATAGGCTATTCGAACCAAATGTATAAGATATATCGTTTTAGTATTAGTAAAGGACAACTTGTTTTTATTACAGCCCATGATAATTAATACAACAAAAACATTGTAAAAATGAGGCTAAAAGAAAGTCATCCCACAGTCATCCCACATTACAGCGTCACGCGCCTTCTTTTTGAACGTGATTTTCTCCAATGAGGCAAATTAAGCACATTTGCCAAATTAAGCTGCAGCACTTATATTATTGCACTGGTTGGCTAACTGTGAGCAGAGTGCCAACCAATGCATTGGAGAATACGGCGAACATAAATAAAGAAACGAAGTTGCTTGTCAGATTTCCCTAACAAGCAACCATATATTTTTTAAATAAATCCAAAAAACCGCGACCCGGGATTTTTTCACGCAACTTTACAAAAAAATAAGCCCAAAATCGCGTATAATAAGCGGACTTGGCAACTATGGCAGCCGCTAGAACCATAGACTATAAAAACAGGCTAGAACACATCCCCTGAAGTCCTCCGCATCTTTCGCGCTTCATTGATTGGTTACTGCGTCTCTCGCCCCGCCTTCTCGCGTTCTCCTCCCCTCTTCTCCGCTCACTCCAACCTGCCTGATTTTCACAGCTCAGCGTTCTCCTTACATGTAGCTAGTGTAGGGGTGGGATGGGTTTCAGAGTGTGCCGTGAAAAAAAATCCCTCCTCACCCAATTGGAAATGGGAGTAGTTTTTATTGAGCCGTGATTGAACCAATGACAGCTCAGTGCCGGGAAACACAGCAGTGAAACACCAGGGGCTGTGGCGCTGAGCAACGATTGCAGGGTGTGAGACTACAAATGTGTGTGTGTGTGTGTGTCTGTCCCGATCCGAGCTATTGTGTGTGTGTGTGTGTGTGTGTGTATGTGTGAGCGTGGGGGTGCGTAGGTAGACATCAGGGGTGTGTGTGTGTGTTTGCACAGGTCTGATATTTCCAACACAACCAGAAGAGGATAAACCAAAAGTCCTGATTGTTGTCACTTCTTTTTTTCTCCCCCAAGCTTTCCAAGTACCCTGCTCGCTCTGCGAAGTTTCTTTCCTCAACCCCCTTCTGCATCACCACCCTCCTCTTGGTGCAGTACATCTCCAGTGAGGATACACACGGTACAGAGGTAAGTACAGTATCCCCCTTTTATGATAAAGCATGCCTTTTATACAATGCAGATTATCATTTTAATGCTTAGACAGGAGTCTAAATATAGTCTTTCAGTCATTATAATAAAAAATCAGGGAGAGGATGGCAGAGAGGAGAGAGAGGAAGACCTTTGTCAGCGAGTGGAACTTTCTGAGCGTAGCGTCCTAGTGCTGCAGTATCACATTACATAATAGTAGCCGATGTGCGTAGAATAGAACTTGAGAGTCTCATAATTTGTACACACAATATGCATCTCTTGATAACTCAGAGATGCGGTCTGACACGTCACTGCTGGCTTTGTAGATTGAGTATGCATGATCATAAAACACAACTGCAGCTGTTTGTGCACTTTTTTAATGTTATGCCAAGTTTTTTTGAATGGTTTATGTGCATTGAAACACTACAGCGTTCTCTATAATTGTTTGAGTTGATAGTATAAGCTGTTTTGCAGACTATTTAGGGTTGGCGTCCAGCGGAGAGCTCGTTACTGGCCGTGCGGCTGCTGATCGTGCCATCTTTTTGCTGATCAAGCTGTTCCGCTGACAACAGGCGCAGATTTACTTGTCCTGTCTGCTGGCGAAGGATGTTATAAACCTGATTACCTTGATGTTTAGGGGAAGTGAACTGCACCGTCTTGTTGTTCTCATTTAACATTTTATTATGCATGTGAAATGAACTGCGCTGAGGTCAGTTGCAAAAGTCGAGCGTTGTGTGTTGTGTTCATTCTTGTGTGTACCTGCACTTCTCAAAGACATCCCAGCAGGGCCGATAACAGGAAAAGGCAATTTAAGAGGTAATCTCATTGATTGCAGTGGTGACCAGGTGAATAGCGCTGGAGAAAGACAAATGCAGACAGATAGATAGATAGATGACTGGGAGGTGCCCTGGGCCGCAATGCTTCGGCTAAGTGCTTCGGGTCAGTCCTTGAGAGCGCCACATAATAACGGCACTCGTTTAGATTCAGAGTAGACCTCGCTCTACTCAAAGCAGAGGTGAGACAGAGGAGGCATCGCCGCATTGGACACATTCACACACACACACACACACGTTTGAGGGTTATGTGTGGAGGCTGTTCAGTGGAGTGAAACCGTTTCCCCTTCCTGTAATAAATCACGCTCCCTTGCTGCTGTACAGGGGCCGGTAATGTTTGAAGAAGAACATTGTCCCTTTTTTTTGTTTTACAGTAATGGATAGGACTTGGGTAATAATTACGCAGTATCAGGACTCATAACTCAACAGGACTCCTAATGCACCGCTATTATAAAGAACATCTCGCTCGTCATGAGCCTGGGGACGTTGCTTTTGGTTTATGCTCTAGTATTTACTGATTTTTCTTATTTGGAGTATAGACTTGTTCTGGTATTCGGTAATGCGATATATCACGGTAATGAATATGCACGATATTGTTATCGTGGGCACTTCTGAATACCGTGAATAATTATATATTACGAATTATTCCGAATTTTGAATGCATTTTAAGAATACTTTTCCCATCAATTGGTCAAAATGCACAACACCGCTGTACGGCACTCTGATGTAAACAAGCGCGGACGATAAGCACATGGCGGAACATGTGAGAGATGCTCTGGATGAAAGCGCACTTTCACTCTCTGACAGCAGATGGCGCTAAACTGCAGAAATAATAATAATAATAGTAATTCATGTAAATGCAGCCGTTACCCCGTAAACCCTGTAAACAAAGCAGCTGCTCTACTTTCTGTTTCTGAATCGTGTTTAAATTATTTAAACAGCTATTCAGATTTGTGTATTTGCTATGATGTTCATCACAGCGCCAAATACTTAAATATTTAGACTTAATAGGCTATTTATTTTCAAACTTTTTTTACATTTTAATCTGGACTACAACATGCCCTAGATATTGTTTGAAAGTGTTTTGATTCTTTATTGTTCGGTCACACTTTACATTAGGGCTTCATTAGTTAACATTAGTTAACATAAACTGCCAATGAAAAATTCTTCTGAACATTCATTAATCTTAGGTATTCCAATATTTAATAACACGTTGTTAAAATCGAAAGTTGCAACTGTGTTATTTAATGAGCTAACATGAACTAAGACTTGTATTTTTTTAACAAAGATTAATAACTTCTGTAGCAAATGTAGCTATTGCTCATTGTGAATGTTAATGCATTAACTAAGGTTAACTAATGAGGTCTTATTGTAAAGTGATACCTATTGGTCTTTATAGTTCTTTTGCACTTTAATCTGTGTAAAACTTTTAACTTTATACATTTTTCTGTATTGCTTTATTGCATTTAAATGTTCAGTTATTTTTGTTATAAGAAAAAAGTTATTAAACCTTTTATACTGTATTATGACAGCACTTTTTGTTTAAACTAAATTCTAATATCGTGATAATACCGTATACCGTGATAAAAGCATTAGCAATTAATCGCAACATGAAAATTTGATACCGGCATATCCCTATTGGAGTATTAGTGACATACCCGAACCTCTTATTTTTCTATCTATATCTCTCAGTCTCTAGAGTGCTGTACGTTTTTAAAAGTGGATATCTGCTTGATGGTTCATGAAATTGAATGGTCTTTGCCTGCTGTAATCGTGTCTTGCTGAAATTGGGATGCGTTCACATAAAGCGTAAGGGTCTCCCTGTGGTTCTTCTAATCAGCATGGTTGAAATGAACGTCGGCACGCTTTAAATGTGTTGTTTTCTTTCGTAATAAGCTGATATCATTACTTTCATAAAAGCCACAACAGGATAGCATTATTGCAGCAGGGTCAGCAGGTTGCATAGTCAAGATATAAACAGTACAGTTAGCTATATGTGTGTAACCATACACTTCTGAGAATGATTAAACATAGTGACAGGCTGATATATTGAGTGTCAGATGATTTATTTGAGATTATGGGCATCGCCTGTTGTGGTTTCCCCTTGTGTTAGTTTCAAAATAGAAAGATAGCATCCTCAAACAATGAATAATTTACTTTTTTGGTGGTTTTTGTTTTGTGCATTTTGAGTAAATATTGTGTAAAATGGGTGATAATCATTATCTTTGTTGTATTTAATTTAATTTGATTATTTTTATTTTCCATTGCCCATCCTAGAGTAAGTGTTTATTTTATTTTATTTGATTCCCACCCTGTTCTCTAGATATTGAGACTAGCCTTTAAAATTGGTGAAACACTACATACAATCAAAATGGCCACGTAATATGTTTGCCATAAGGCAGTGATTCTCAGACTGTACATTTGCCAGGTTCAATATTAATGAAACAATTGATCTGTCATCAGTGATGCTGCACTGAAGGAACCATAAGCAAGCTGGCTAAATTGGTCATATTTGACCAAGCTTTAAAAGCCTTTCTAAACACGTTTTCTTTTTTTTTATCACTTCCGGTTTTCATACATCTGCATTTCAAACTGCGTAGTAAAGGTGTGGTAGTATCATGTTCTCTCTCTCTTTTTACCTATCCATCCGTACCTTCTCTTTTTTGCACCGACACAGCTTTGATTTAACAGCATCTTCGCTGTCACAATCACTCCTCATGTAATGGCTTTGTAAACTCTGAGTGCTTAATATGGAAAATGCAGAAATACAATTCAAGAGCTCAGTCACGCCAGCTGTTTTGGCCACTACATATGTTCATTCACAATAACAAGAGGGAAGCTCTGAGGTTTGGGTTTGTTTGATATACTAATGGATGTAATTGTCACTGCAGTGTTTAGTGAAAGCCTGAATACAGCCAGCAAATTAGTGGTGGGGATTTGATTCATTCCAGTGAGTCGACTCTTTTGAGATTCATTCAGGGACACTTTCTGTCTATTATGAATCATTGAATCATTTGCTTAAAAATTCATTCTAAAACACAGAATCATTCCATCATGACCGAAATCATGACCGAAACAAGTTGTATTGTCCTTTTTAAAAATGTACATGTTACAGATTTACTAAGAGACTCTAGAAGTGTTTTAGCAATGTTAAGCATTTTTTAAGCATGTAATTCAATAATAATTTTCACACATTTAAAAATTGGGATAATGCGTGAAATATAGGGATAATGTCACTGCATGAAAGTGAACAACAGTGATTCATTCACAAGATTCACTGATTTCGTGTGTGAACTCCACACACGAAAGGTCGCATTTAAGCAGCGATCTCCCCCTGTCCATCAGATTACTCAGAACTGATGATAGAGCAGCAACCGAGTTTGACGTGTTCGTGACAGCTCTATAACATAATATTTAGTGAGGACAGCCAAAGTGCTGGGCTGGTAGATTCAGTGCCCTCAGGCTGCGAGATGTTACAGCATGCTGACTAAATCAGATGAGGAAGGTGTGTGTGTGGGAGTGTTAGAGAACAAGAAAGCAATTTTACAGTTCTATGATATTGACCCTTTGCTAAGCTCCGCCCCTTTGGTTACCATTGCTCGCACAGATAAGCGTTATGGAACTGGAATGAACTGTGAACAGTGTGATTTTCAGTAAAATGTGTACAAAAAGTGGTAAAACTCGAATAGATATTATTTCTACATGGTCTGTGAAGTGAAACCATTTGTCTTGACAGAAACTGTTGAATTACACAGTAAAATAGACTGAATCAGAATGGAAAACAGAAAAGCCTCATTTGAAAGTGTGATAACATAGTGTATGCAAAAATGAACTTTTATAAAAATAAACAATAAAATGTACATTTTAAAAATGTAAAAAAAATACACAACTTTTTACCGTTTTCTTTGGTGATTTCTTTCAAATGCAATTTAAAGCTATTTAAACACACAGAACTTGTGCTGACTTTCATTGGAAAAGAGTAACATTTTGTTGGATAACCTGGTGGACGACAGGATTGGTCAGTTACATTTTAAAGGCGGGACTTAGTGAAGAATCTGTAAGATAGCTCTGTTTTGGCTAAAAGTTGTCTCTTCTTAATGATATCATTGCAGGGTTGTCAGTCAAACTGATGGATAGGCATTGACCTTTCTGCGTTTGTGGTTTTTT